GGCCGTCAGTGGGCGGGGCCACCAGAACACCACCCTCACCCACGCCCTGCCCCGCGTTACCCACTGTTACATCACATGAGCCGTTGTTACCCCGCGTTGCCCGGGTTACCACCCATATACCCACTGTTACCCAGAACTGCCCTGAGTTAGTCCGCGTTACCACGCGTTACGCACTCTTACCCTGTGTTACTCCGCGTTACCGCGCATTACCCACTCTTACCCCGCGTTACTCTGCGTTACTCTGCCACCGAGGGGAACGCAGCCCCGGCGGCAGACACGATTTACGCAGATTATCGCCTGAAAAGAAGTTGTTCCTGTGTCTTCAGGTACGTCCCCTCCGACGCTGTTTCTGAGGTTAAATGCCTTTCTTCCCGCTGTGCTGGGGCCGAGGGTGACGAGTCCTTGTGGGGGGGACGCCCCAGCTGCCGCCCGCCTCTGACAGCATTTCACCGGACTGGGTAGCTCCGAGGCTTGCTTGAGTAACAACTCAGAGTTGGGCCTCCACCTCTGGGAGTGGCAACAGCTAACAAACAGTGGCCTCTCTATACAGCATATATAGCAACATATGGTATCAAAACAGACTTATTTGGAAAAAACAGATCTTGAAAATAATTTCAAAAAATTTGAGAACATATTGTCAGAGAACTAGTAAATCCTTGTGGTAACTGAGTCCAAGTTCACTACTTCCCTTGCCACGGGAAGGCAAAGATTGATTGGCTTTCTTCCGCAACTGGAATGCTAAACAAAGCTCCTGTAAGATCAAGCACCATGAAGTACTGTGTCCAGACTGGAATCTGCCTTAAAATCAGACTAGGATCTGGTACCACAGGATGTGAAGCAATTACATGTTCATTTACAGCTCGTAAGTCTTGAACAAATCTATATCCAGGATCTCCATCTTTATCTATTTTTACTAATGGGTCAAATTGCAGCACTATAAGGACTAAGACATTCCTTCAAAATGCTTTTTTCTAACAAACGTACAATTCTTTTTTTTTTTTTTTCTGCTGGGAACAGCCTCATTTATAATAGGATATTGCCAAATTGAAGGAGTCGTCCCTCCTTTTGTTTTTATCACAGTTGGCTCAGCCGATTTTAACAATCCCACTTCAGCTCCCAATGGACTTGAAAGTTCTCTGGGCATTGCAGCCCATTCAAATTGGATAACATTCAAATCATTTTGGTTTTGACCTCTCAATTCAATTATTTTTGAGCCCATTAAAATCAGTTGAATCTCTGTTGGAGCCAAGGAGATAAACGTACCAAATTCCTGCAGAAGTTCTTGTCAAAGGGGTAGATAAATAGTTTATCTCTTCCCCTACTAGTCCCTGTACTATCACTGGAAATCTGGGGAACTTCAAAATTCAGTACAGTCCCAAAAGGCAAGTAGGGGAATTGGGAGAGATCGCTAATTTAACCCAAACCAATTTTTTATCCAAAATGAGACCGTTTACCTTTGCACAAATCTGACCGTGCTCATCTACCTTGATGCCAATGGGTCCCATTGTTCTTTCAGTTCCCAGAGAAGATGATGGTTTGCTGATTAAGGATACCAATTAAACTCGGACACCAGAGGGAAAAGAGTAGGCAGATTTTACTGGTGATAACCAAATCATGTCACAGTGTAATACAGAAGACAGGCAGTAAGAAAAGGCAGAATAGTGCACCCAAAGCAACAAAAAGGAAAATACAGGGTAATGCACCAAATCATTACTACCTGAGAGAGAGAGAATAGTGATTAAGAAAAGATCTCTCACCACTTGCAAACTTTACTATCACCTAGATCTGCAGGTGCTGGGCAGCCCTGGTCGCAGCGAGGATTTGGAGAACCTGTCCCAGCAAGCGGGAAATCCCACGCAGTGCGTCCACCCAGAGGTGAGGCTTCCAGAGTTACTGCAAGTGAGTCCAGCCTTACATACCAGAGATCGACAGGCCAGAATAGCTGGCACCTTTGTTTTGAGTGGAAAATTTCTGGTTTCATTCTCCTGTTGGATTCCACCCAAAGCCTGGCCAGGGCTCGGGGGGGAAACCAAGGGAGTTTCTAACAAGGCCAAATACCTGGGTTCTCAGCCTTGAACAAGGGCGTCCCCCTTTCAGCACAGAGTACTGGCCCCATCTTCTATAGATTTCTTTTATCTCTCTCTTTGCAAATTTAAACACAAGAGTTTCCCAGTATAATCCTGTTGGAGAACGGCTTGCAGAGAGCAAGGCCATAGCTCTCTGCAGGAGCTGGTCGGACTCTACAACGCACTACTTGTAACTCTATTGGATACATTAAAAAAGCTATATTATAATAGCTCAGCCATTGGGTACATCGAAAAGGTCACACTGTAATATCCCAGTCCCTTGTGGCATTTCTGGTATGCATAAACATTTTTCTTGCTTTGAACCTGTTTCTCTCCCAGGGCTATTTTTTTTTCACCCCCAAGGTCATAATGCACCCCCAACTTATCTCTTTGTTCTCATAACAGTCCTTCTTAGCATCACTGAGCCTTGAATCTCCTTCCTTGCTAGCAGAACTGTACCCTGGGTTTTTTCCTCTGTTTACCTCAGGTGGCTGTGACCAACTTCTGCAGCGAGAAATGGCCGACCAGCTCCTGCAGAGAGCTATGGCGCTGCTCTCTGCAAGCCGTTCTCCAACATAATCCTGTCTGGAATTACCCGTGCCCAAGTCTCTTAGGTGGACTCACCTCTTATTGCTTTGCCGGCAATCCGAGTATTGGTAACGGCTTTATCCAGAGGAATATCTGACTCTTCCCTCTTGTCTCCTAGAGTCCCATCTGGGTCACCAATTCTGTTAAAGGGTTTCACCAGACTGTGGGTATCTCTAGGCTTGCTTTAGAGACAAGTTAGACCTGGGCCACCACCACTGGAACTGGCAACAGCTAACAAAAAGCCCCCTCTCTCTAGAGGATATAACATACACTACAAAGAGTCTTTGGTGACTTCCCAGGGACTTTCAGCTCTGAATTCATCACCAATTTCAAAAGTCCATTGTATTCCACACTTTTGGCTAGGTCTTATCGTGCTCTTCTAACTGCAGCTGGGACACCACTGTTCACTGATGCAGTCTTTGGTCATCGTCGTTACTCATGTTCTGAACAATCTGCATGAAAATTCACTTTTAGACTTCTGAGAAAAGATTCCAAATGTTCTGTTTCACAGATACTTATTCTCTGTCTAGCTTTTCATTACCTAGCTTTTCTAAGTTGCTGAAACTGTCAATATTGTTCCTAGAGCACCTGTGCTCTTTAATCAAAGCTATAAACCAGGATCTGTTTATTAATTATTGCTGCTAAGAATAATGTCCTTAGAGAAAAGGGTTTTCTAAAGCTTGTTGCTTTTACACCACCAACAGGTGCACCCTGGTAGCTGCTCTCCCTCCTTCACCTCGCGCCGCAATGGGACTGCTCCGTCTTCTCGTCTTTCTGGTGCTGGGCAGCTGGTCCTGGGGCTGGGCGGCCCCCGTGCCCCGTCTCTGGCCACCACCCCTGCGAGTCACCTGCTGGGGCCCGCACGGGCAAGTCTCCCAACGGCGGGACAGCGAGCGCTGGGTCTCGTGCCTGTGGAACAGCACCGTGAGCCTGCGTTACCAGCCAGGCCCGGGCATGAGAGCAGAGCCAGAGGGGAAAGAGGGGCGGCCGCCACCCCCACCTCGCTGCTTCTGGTCCTTGAACTCGACGTGGGTGACAAACACCTCGCGCTGGTCGGGCCAGGTGACGCTGCAGACAGGCCTCCCGCCAGGAAGCGCTCCTCCACCCGGGGTCTCCATCCTCCTCACCGTGCGCTGCTCGTCGGCGTCCTGCGCTGCACCCGAGTGCTTCCACCACGACGTCACCGTGGAGATGTGCGGGCAGGACATGAGGCTGTTCGTGCTTTGGCCGCAGTCGCGCCTGATCCCCGCGCGGCAGCCCGTGGAGCTGGGCTGGTGTGCGCGCTTCAAGAGCGCCGGCTGGCAGTACCGCTTCAGCAGCCAGGGAGGCAGCCCCTCTACCCTCCTCCTTCCCAGCAGCCAGCACCAAGACACGCTGCCGCCCACCGTCTACCCGACAGCCGAGCTGCGACAGACCTGCGCCACCTACTACAGCTACCGCTTGACCGTGCGCTACAGGCGCCACGGGCTCCACGTTGCCTCGATCAGCATCGAGCAGATGCCTCACATCAGCCTCAACCTCTCTCTCAAGGTAGAGCGGGACTTGCTGCATGTCCTCAGCATCAGCTCCATGCTCCTTAGCGTTGCTCAGCAGCCCCTCCGCCTCTCCTGGAGGCTTCAGCCCCTTTCCCCGGGGACACTGGCCTACAGACTGGTGGACACGCAGGCCACGGGGGATTGGCTCCGTTCCTACGGTTCCTTTACGCTGCAGAGCAACTTCTGTGCCGTCCCCACACCTCAGAGCCTGGGTGAGAAAGTGGTGGCCAGCATCTACTTCCACGTTGATGGAAAGAGGGTCAAGGAATCCATGGGAGAGCTGCAGCTGCTCAACGGTACCCTGAGCCTAACGGCAGGCAGAGAACCTCCCATCCACGTCAACCTTCACCCAGGGAAGACCATGAACGGCACTTACACTTACAAGGACAACCACGGAATGCGTTACACGACCAAAGACGACGAAACCTCCATTTCCACCGATGGCCCTCACACGCGCACCGTCTTCTACCGACAGAAGGAGCTCTCCTACGTACTCTCCGTAGAGTTTGTGGCCTTCCAGTGGTACAAGTTCAATATGTACCTTTACATGAATCAGAAGAGGACGCCAGCAGAAAGAGACCCTGAAGTCCACGTCTTCACCGGCAGCCATCCTTCCTTTCCGCAAGGCTTCACCTACCTGGTGTGGTTTATCCCTGCACAACATCCGATGCTACAGTGCGAGTGGACCTTCCACCTGCAGCTTCTTGGAACGCAAAGAGACCGCCTTCTCCAGAGCAGCACCTACACGTACAACGACCACGTAAGAAACGCCACGCGTTTTGTCCGTCGCTCCGCGTTACCCTTTGATCCAGAGAAATACACGGGGTTTGTGGCAAAAGTGAACTGTAGCAGAAGTGCACCTACACCGGCGCTTTTAAGAGTCACAGTCAACAACCGCACCGCAAAAACCATAGAAGCGCCAGTGGCTTGCCGGAAGGAAGCCTGTTACATACACAGTGTGCGCATTCGGAGGCCTGCTCCTCAGACCTCTGTCCTGCGCCAGAAAAAGGGGGCATCTTTTTTCCTCTTTGCCGACGTGCGACAATACTGCAACGTTGGTATAATTAACAAACCCTTGTGGCGAATCTATTCTGTGAAGGACACAGAAACTGTTCCGGACTGGAAAAACCCAGTCAACTCTTCTGGGATGTATGGTGTAGAAATGATACACTTAACTGTTCCCAGATTTACTTTGGATTACGGCTTGTATCTGTTTAATTTCACTGTTGAGATAACCCCGATTGGGACCGCAACGGTCCTCAGGGGCACAGATAAAATTTACGTTCAGATCGAGAGAGACGACCTGGTGGCAAATATTGTGGGAGGCACCTTCCGCACAGTGGGCTTTTCTGATGATTGGACTCTCAATGGCTCTGCGTCCTACGATCCTGACTCAAAGGATGGGCTAAAGGGAATCACGTTTACTTGGTACTGTACGAAAGAGCTGTCCGACTACAAAAACATGCAAGTCAGCCCGGGAAAGAGATGCCATCCGGCCCAGAGGGATTTGAAATGGCTAACACCCTCAGGCCCAGTCCAGGCAGTGCCACCAGAATCCCTCCCAGGAAACAGCGTCTACTACTTCCGTCTAGAGATTCAAAAGGACACGAGGAGGAGCTACGCTGACCAAACCGTAAATGTGCAGCCTGGCTCCCCACTCTTCCTGAACGTGGCATGCCTCGAAAACTGTGGGAGCACTCTAATTCCAACGGAGAGATTTATCTTGTCTGGAAAATGCCTAAACTGTAGGACAACCAGCCAGCCAGCCTACTACTGGTCTCTTTTTTCAGACAACTCAACAGAAGTCAGCTTTGACTGGTCTTCCAGAACCTCAACGGGGAGGTCTGGGCCTTACCTGTCTATAAACGCTCTGACTTTTACAGAGGCTGCACATCGATCCTACGTACTCCAGTTAAAAGTAACTACCTGGGACGGGAGGGCCTCAGTCTACAGACACATGTTTAAGGTGACTGCTCCTCCTAGGGCTGGCAACTGTACCATCCACCCACGCTGGGGTATAGCCTTTCAGACAAAATTTGTTGTTCAGTGCAGTGGATTTTCTGACAGCAATTTACCTCTGACGTATAAAGTGATCGCAGCTTCCAACGTACCCCAAACGGCCAAAATAACTTCTGTGGAGGAGAACACGTTTGGCACCATTCTCTACTTTGGTTACGAGCCTAGAACTCCTCCGTCTTTTCTCCCAGTCGGAGTGCCCTCTCAGAAGTACACCTTGAAGCTTTACGTCCAAGTCGCTAATTCCCTTGGGGCGTTTACCCAAGTGAATTTATATGTCCGCGTGCAGAACCCAGTTAACAGCCGGCCACCAGCTGTCGTGTTTCATGAGCTGCTGGCCTCGGTGAGCGGCTTTAACGCGCCGATGACATCTTATCTCCAGGCTAAAAATTATTTTAGCGCGGGTTATTTGGCTTACGTGGCGGCCTCCGTCTTAAACTATATTAAAGTCACACCAACTCTCCAGCTCCCTAAGGCTCAGTTCCGGGAAAGCCTGATTGAAACACTCCTGAATATTTCAGCCGAGAGCCTAATGGACATCAACCAAGTAGTTGCTTCTCTTTCGCAAGTCACAGAGGAAGCTGACGAAGTGACCGTCAGATCGCAAGACCTCGCCGTTAGGAAACTGTCCGAACTAACGGCAACGCTGAAGGTACAGAGGAACGAGACCCACTGGTCTGAGGATGCAGAAATTCAAAGCAGTGGAATACTAAGGGGCTTGTCCAACATCCTGAGAGCTGCTCTTCTGCCTCACACGAATGTCAACGTAAACGGAGTTAAACAAGTCTTCTCCATCACGGAAACCTTAATGGACATCGTTTTCCAGGGCAAAGTCCCTGGCGAGACAGAAACTCTCATGGAAACAAAGCACTGGAATATCACGCTGACGAAAGATGAAACCTGGAACATTACAAATGCTTTCTCTGCCAGAAACACCTGCAGAAGTTGCTTTTACCCGTCACTGAACGAAGGAAATGATACTGGATTGTCCCATGACGCTGTGATTTCCACTGCCCTTTTTGAGTTTGAGGAGAACCCCTTCCCTTGGTTAGGTTACACATCAGAAATTGCAACAACGGTCTTGGGGTTCAAAATGGCAGAGACCAAGGCTAACGGGGACCTACTTGGGATCGTGCCTGAAGGAGCAGAAATTGTGGTTGCTAGGAAAGATAAGGACTCTTCAACTTTTCCGTTAGCAATGGGACCCGATAAAACGCAAGCTTACACAACTGGAGGATTTCAGTTTGAAGTCAGCAGAAATAGCAGGAGCATCTACATCCAGATCCTGACAAAATTAAAAGCTACTTTCAAGGTACTGGTATTTACAGGCGCCAACCTCACGGATGCTACTCCCATAGCCTCGTTCTCGGCTTTTCACGACAAGCCAACAGCCGCAAGCAAGAACGAGACAGCTGGCGCTGACTGTAACATTGAGGCTCCCTATATCATCTGTCTCCCAGAGTCACTGCTGACAGCCACGGCTCAAGAAAGTGCTACAGACACTTATAACATCTCCGTCGTCCTGCTGACACCCCACGTCACGAGGTACCAAACCCAGAGACTGGTGAAAATACACATTTTTAGCGACCAGTGCTTATTCCTGGATGGGATTCAAAGCCTGTGGAGAGAAGACACGTGCAGGCTTGGCTCCTTGACCAACTGGCAGAGGGTCCACTGTGTCTGCAGTATGAAGCAGAGTCTCGGGCATCTGTCAGTCCACGCTGCGTCAAACGCGTCCCGGTTCAACATCAAGTTCCTGGCAGCCAAAGTATTCGTTCCCCCCAACAGGCTAGACCTGGGAAAAATGCTGATAGCAGAAATACCTAAAAACCCAGTGACCCTCTTAACAGTGCTCTTCATTTTTGCTGCCTACTTTCTTCTGTCCTTCTGGGCCGTCAGAAAAGACAGAGCTGACAGGAACAGGAAAAACAGCATTATCGTCCTGCCAGACAACGACCCCTTTGATACAGAGAGCTTTTTGGTCACTTTACACACAGGCAGCCGCTGGGGAGCTGGCACCAAAGCAGATGTCTGTCTTCAGCTCATCGGCCAGAACGGCACGAGTGACGTCCATTGTTTACGGCACCCGCAATTTTTGCCTTTCCAGCAAGGAAGCGTCGATTGCTTTCTGCTAACTACAAAGAAGGACTTGGGAGACATTTGTTCCCTCAGGGTCTGGCACAATAACAAGGGCCCATCTCCAAGCTGGTTCTTAAGCAGAGCCAAAGTTGAGAATGTGAACACCAGGACGACGTGGTTCTTCATCTGCAGGAAATGGCTTTCTCTCGACCACGGCGATCACTTCCTAGAGCGGACATTTTCCGTCACAAACCCCAAGACACCTCTGCCCAGAATCGACTATTTTTGGATTAAACTTGCTGACAGCCTGACAGAGAACCATCCGTGGTTCTCAATTTTTGCTCACGTTCTCACCGGCACTTTCAGCAGGCTGCAGAGGTTGTCTCTGTGTTTAGCAGTATTGTTACTGGACTTGCTTGTTAACATTATGTTCTTTAACGCTGACAAGGATGGAGAATCTACGGGACACTTGAGGTACCTGAGATCAATAGCACTAGGAATTGAATGTGCTTTGATGACCATACCCGTGGAAATCATTCTAACTGCCTTATTCAAGTATTCCCGGAAAGAACCTTCTCCTCGTCATGTGGCTCAGACAGACCCAAAGGTAAATTCACCTCTCCAGGACGGAAGTCCCAAGAACTTTAAGGAGCGCCAGCAAAAATCCTACCTTTCAGAAACTTCAGCACAACCGAGGAATATTACTCCCTTGGAGAACCTTCCTGGTCCCAGCAGCTCACAGAGCACGCCATGTTCCAGAAAGACAAGCAGCGAGGGATCTCCCCAAAACTGGAGTAACTGCACCGTTTCTGAAAGCCAGGCGAACGGAATAGGAACAGACATGCAGGCGACAACCGAAACTCCCCGTCCAGTGGCTAAGGCCTGCCAGAGAAGGCTGCAATCAAATTCCAACATCCGGAAGAATTACGCAGAAGAAGGGGGCAACTTTCAGAAAGAAAGGAAAGCGCTACGCGTTGGCTGCCTGCCCTCTCCCGAGAGACTGCACCTAGTTTTTCGGAGGTGCTGCTTCTACACCTCATGGGCACTAGTTATAGCTGTCACGGGGCTGTCATCGTTTTTCATCGTGTCCTATGGCTTGTCTTACGGCTATCAGACTTCTAGAGAGTGGCTTTTGGCTTCTGCAACCTCCTTTATTGAGAAAGTGTTTCTCATTTCAATTCTAAAAGCCATTTTCTTCTCAGCTATGCATACGTTTCATCGGAAAACCTGTGAACACGTCCCATGGTTAACTCTGAAAGAGTATTCTAAGATTAAGTCGGATAAAGAAATGCTGAGTGAAGATGAAATAAGAGAGACGCGCGCAAAACTTGCGGAAGTCAGGAGCAGCAAGGAGTACAAGCCTTTAGAGCCCGAGGAAGTTGCAGACATGTGGAAAAGGGCAAAAATCAAGGCCAAGGCATTTACTTTCATAAAAGGCTTCATCAGTCACCTTGTCTTTTTGATACTGCTATTCCACTTTGCCTATTCCACCGAGAACGCCAACATTTTCCACTACAACAGATTCATCCGCAAGCAGTTCTCTCCGGGACTCTCCAGGGTACTTAAGCTGGAACACATCAACGTGTGGCTGAAAGACTCGTTCTTGCCTCTGATCCACAACGAAATTCAGCCAACCTTTCTTCCCGAGAGCCGCTCCAAAATCATTGGTTTGCCTAGGATGAGGCAAGTGCGGGCTAAAAACACGGAGAAAAAATGTTTCCATCCTCACAGCTTCATCAATAACTTTGTCATCAGCAAAAGCCACTGTCTTCACAAATACGGCAGTGACACCCCAGAGAAAGGTGACTATGCTGGCACCTGGACAAAGCTTGCCAACCAGTCTGTTTCCGAGGATGCCAGCAGCTACGGAGGGTTCACCTACCACCAAAACAGAACTCCGTGGACATATTTTTTATATGGAGATTTGCACAAGTACGGCCCAGACGGATACGTGGTTTACTTTTTCCCTGAAGAAGGAAGATCTAATTCTACCACAAGGCTGGACACTCTCCAGCAGAGCAACTGGCTTGATGAGAACACGTGGGCTGTGATCATTGAACTGACTACATTTAACATGGATGTAGGCCTCTTTTGCACCCTCACAGTCATCTTTGAAATGTCTCCTTTTGGGATGATAAAGCCAAGTTTGTCGGTGCACTCCTTTACACTCCCCATCTTTCATCAGCAAACTAAAGCTCAGGTGTTTGTGGCTGTAACTGCTCTTGCCCTCCTCTTCCTTTACATTGTAGATGAGCTCCTCATCATAGGGCAAGAGAAAAAAGATTATGTCAAAAAATTCTCCAACATAATCAACTTTGGCTTAAAATCAGCATTCCTCCTCTTTGTGTTTTTAAAGACCATAAAGTTTAAGGCGGGAGACGATATAGTGAAGTTTTACTTACTTCACCCAAATCATTTCATCAATTTCCATGCAATTTCTCATTTAGATCAGATTTTAAGGATTACTACAGGCGTTTTAGCATTTCTTGCAGTTTTGAAAACTCTGAAATATTGTCAACTACTTTATGGTGTGCACCTGGCACAAAGATTGATCCTGGCAGCCCTTCCCAAACTCTTCTCAATGGCCCTCGTGGCAGCAGTGTACTTTTTTGCATTTACAGCTTCTGGCTACCTTGTGTTTGGGCAGCATGAATGGAATTACAACAACATGATTCACTCAGCTCAGACCATAATTTCTTACTCTGTCTCAGCATCCAGACGTACGGCATTTCCATCCAACAGGTTGTCTGGTGGTCTGTTCCTGGCTGCTTTCACGGTTGTGATGACCTGTGTCTTGACCAAGCTCTTCCAAGCTGTTATTTTGTCTACCTATAGAGAGGTGAAACAGTCCGTATATGAAGAACCATCCGAAGAAGCACAAGTGGTTGCTTTTGTATTGCAAAGGCTGAGAAGGATAGTTTACCTTCTGCTCTGTAAAACAACCAAGACCAGTGAGACTGATCTAATTTACAGTGAACTTTACAGGCAGACTGTGAAAAGACATCAGCAGCATTTAGGGCTCAAAACCAGAAAAATTAATGGGCAAGAAAGGGTTTATCTTGTCCTATGAGCAAGGAGAGATTTCTGTGTTCAAGATGACCTTTACTCTGTAATACTGTTCAAATAAAGTTCAAATAAATTGTTCATACATTAATTATTTACCTCTAAGAATTTTTTAACGTGCAACCCCTTACTAATGATTGTACTGAGATTTTCTCCCGATTATTCTCCAGTCTGACCCTGCCCTGGGCAGCTTGAGGCCATTCCCTCGGGGCCTGGCGCTGGCTCCTTGGCTCCAGAGACTCATCCCCCCTCTCTGCCCCCTCCTGGCAGGGAGTTGCAGAGGGCCAGGAGGTCTCCCCTCAGCCTCCTCTTCTCCAGACTGAACCCCCCCAGTTCCCCCAGCCGCTCCCCAGCAGACCTGTGCTCCAGACCCTGCCCCAGCTCCGTTGCCCTTCTCTGGCCACGCTCGAGTCATTCAACGGCCTTTTTGGGGTGAGGGGCCCAAAACTGAACTCATTCATCAAGGTGCGGCCTCCCCAGTGCCGAGCCCAGGGCTCAGATCCCTTCCCTGTCCCTGCTGGCCACGCCAGTGCTGACACAAACCAGGGTGCTATTGCCCTCCTTGGCCCCCTGGGCACACTGCTGGCTCATTATCAACCCCCCCAGGTCCCTCTCTGACTGGCAGCTCTCCAGCCACTCCTCCCCAGGTCTGTAGTGCTGCTGGGGGTTGTTGTGGCCCAAGGGCAGCCCCCGGCATTTGCCCTCAGTGAAACTCCCCCAGTTGGGCTCAGCCCATGGCTCCAGCCTGGCCAGGTCTCTCTGCAGAGCCTCCCTGCCCTCGAGCAGATCAACACTCCCACCCAGCTGGGTGTCATCTGCAAACTGACTGAGGGGGCACTCGATCCCCTCATCTAGATCAACAATAAAGATCTTAAACAGGAGTGGCCCCAAGACCGAGCCCTGGGGGACACCTCTCGTGACCGGCCGCCAACCGGATTTAACTCCCTTCACCACAACTCTCTGGGCCCGGCCATCCAGACAGTTTTTCACCCAGTGAAGCGTGTGCCCATCCAAGCCATGAAATTCTTCATACTGAGAGCATAAGGAATAAAAAAAGGCAGCTCGAGTTAGCAGGGTTCAGTTTGGCAAATAAAAGTATACTTTCACAACACTGCATTGCATTTTGTCTGCAGAAGACTTTGTTATTGTGTCCCTTTAGAAGACATTAACCATCAACTGTCAAATCCTGCTATACAGTCTGGCAGGAAGCGGTGGGGATTACATGACTTCTGTATTTTATAAGCATACCTGCGCATTGTCACCAGGTAACCTTCTGGAAGGGAAAACTGTCCAAGGCAACTGGGAAGACTGGCAAACTGGGTCAAACCCCGTATTCCTTATTCCTAAAACCGGGGGCCTCCTCCAGGCAGTTCACCTTGAATACAAACAGACCAGCGATTATGTCGGGTTTTTTTAAAACCTCATGCTCTTCATAACGCGTTTATGGGGAGATTGTGGGGAGATTGTGGGGATATCATGGGGACATCTCCCCACAGTGAGTTGGGGGGGAGCATTACAGCCGGTGGCATGGTGTCAGCCGTCGGCTCCGAGGCGCGGCCTGGCACGAAGCCCACACCCCCCTTCCCACCTCGAACTCCAGCGGCTGTCGGAGCGGCCGGTAACCGGCAGGTGCCCGGGAAGGCCCGGCCCCACCGTCCCTCCCCTCGCCGGGGAGGAGCGGGGCGGCCGGAGGGAGGGAGGTGAGCACGGGCGGGGCCGGGCGCTGAGGCGGCCGCGTCAGCGCGGGAAGC